AAGAGATTTTTGAATCGATTTACTCGTCGATAGCTTCCTAGAGACGCCACCTCAGCAAGGGTCTGCTGGGTCAAGGGTCGGTTTCACGGACTACTTGAACTCAGCCCTTTAAACCGCCTCTGCGCTCTCTCGCGGGTCCCTCTCCTCTCCAAGGCTTAGTCCTAGGGCATTCACCCGTTCTCTAATCGTCTGTGCTCTAGCCATCGCGGCAGGACCATTGAGGAAAAATCAAGTAGTCCGTAAACCACTTGCGAGCACTATCAACCAGCGTTCTAAAGGACGAATTCACGATGAAAAAGCAACCCGTTTCAGCTTAACCTACGGCGAGTGATCAGACGGTGGGCGGAGATCGCCGGACCCGCCAGCTTTGAGGCATGATAGGTCGCCGAGGTCAAATTTTTCCATGCGAATTGCGCGTCAGTTCGCACCCTCAGGAGGTCCGTGGGTCCCTCAACTAGGTCAGTTTCCCTTTCTTCGACCTTCATTCTAATCGTGAATTCCTCCTTTAAAGGACATTTCAATCGGCGATTCTTCTAGAGCCCTATCGAGCTCGACCCGTGCACATTCCCGTAGCATTCTTTTGATGTCGTCTGTAGAAGGCCACTATGATTTTTTTTGACAAAATGAGGTCTGTTTCCCCAGGGAGCACTTACCCTCGCCTTCAAATGACCAGAAATTGTGCAATTGCAGAAATTGACGTGGCATTAACGTGGCATCGATTCAAGAACATCTTTGAGCACACGTGATGTCACCTTTTCATCGAGAATTTAGCCACGTGTGCCACGTGGATTTCTGGCTGCATGAAACAGAGTTTTGTAATTCGAATCGAGCAAAGTGTGACGATTTCCATGCAAAAACTCCGACAAGATCTAAACGGGCACTTCCTCAGTGGTCCCCTATATATGGAAACGTCGAAACGGTAGATTTTTGTGAAATCCGTATATTTCACTAGCATCTCCCTCATATTTCAGAAAATCCTTTCAAAAAATCCCATATTTTCGAAAGATGCGCAATGTGAATTCCACCAAACCCGACACCCCTTATACCAAATATGAATATGAACCCTCCTCACTGAATACTACAACCCTTTTAAAAATACAAATCTCATGTCTAGGTCAGGGTGTAAATTTCCTGGATGGTTGGCACCGTTTCGATAGCACTAGAAGCATCGCTACGTCTCATTCGCTTCACCAGCCGGCGATTCTTGAAAGCAGAGCACGCGGGGCACACACCTCAATCCAGCGGGCTTTATTTACTTATTTATTTTCATACTCCAAAAACGACATGCCGGCCACCAAGGTGGAATAGTAAAAAAGCGACATGAATCAGGGAAAAAGAAAGAAAGCAAAGGAAAAGGAACGTGGAAACAAGAAAAAGCACAAAGCTCGCACTCAGTAGTTGCTGAAGGGTTCGGTATGTGTTTTGCCAGACCCGATCGCAGCCACCCATCCTAGGCTGTACCTTTTTACCGAACACTGGTATATCCTACAGACCCGTTATTGTGTCAAAATAGAACGGGTTTTCATAAACTTATCCCGTTCTGTCATCGGATTCGGGTTCTGTTTTTGGTAATGGTCGACTAGGAAAAAATATTTGCCACACCCTTGTACTCAACATGAAGCAAAGCTTAAAGCATAGGCGTTGGTCAATCCTATTTCGGGATGCGGCACGCATTCTACTTCCATTCACATTCGTAGTGGCGTTTGAATGAATGCGATGTGGCCTATACAATGACTTGCGGGGGCCAGCCGATGTACAAGTCAGTGTTTTTATCCTCCCAGACAAGTCTGGTACCAATTAACCGACCCCGGAGGGATGGAAGGCTTGGTTGGCCCGGGCGACTCACGACCCAGGATTTGATCCCCGGACCGCTCGCGTGGTAAGCGCGCCACCACTACACCACTTCCGCCCTATATTTTCAAATTATAAATTGAAAAATCTATGGAGTGGTAGAAATATTATATCATTGTACTATTCAAAAATATGAAATTGTGACTTGTTTAATCGAATTTGCAGTTTGCTCAGGTATTTCCATTTCAGCACAGCCGATCGTACTTTTTGGCATCGTCTTCCACGGCAATGCTACCAGAACAGATACATGTCGGTAAGTTCCAAGTAGCGTCACTTCCCAATGCACAGCTACCGCACTATTACTTGAGTTTGAATTTTTGAATAATTATCTTCTGCAAAGAGTTTTGTGGTGGTAGACCGGGCGAGTCTGTCACTCTCGTTGAGGTTTTTGGTTGTTTCCCTACGTTCCGTCAGAAACGCTGAGGAAGTGGGGGTGTTTAGTGGTTCAGAACGCATTTTTTAACCATTGAACCACGTTTGGACTTCTAAAAGGGACGATTTGGTCAGAATGTCGGGTCGCTGTGATAAATGTGTTAACAAAGAGGTGAACTTAAACACTTGCTGAAGAATTCTTCGGATTTGTTGTTTGTCTCGCAATGATAGTATACAATAGTCGTGCCTGCTAAAGTTCTATGAAAAAAGGACTTAGGCTGGTGTCAGAGTCCGCGATCCGTCGCACGATTCGCGCGAATCGCAAGAGTCGCAGGCATTTGAACATTTGAAGCACTGAATAGTAAAGACTGACACCACCCCTCAGAGATTTCTATTTGAGCTATCAATTTCAGTTGATCACCGGCATTGGCAACCCTATCGTACAGAAAGTGATGGACTATGCTGAGATGTTCAACAAATCGGCGAACGCGTGCGGCATGTGTAACGTGCAGGTGTCCTGCTCTCCCAGATGCGACTACGCACCTGGGTTAGTCTTCCACCGTTTCAAATACTTGAGTATCAAATAATTGAATTGAGAGTGTTCACCGAGAGAGAGAGAGGAGAGTAGAATGAGGAAAAGGTAATTCTCTATGCAATGCACCTCTATCTTATAAAGCAAGAAGGTTTCTCCATCCTTCAAAGGTTTTTTTTTCAAGCTTACGACGACCACTTTGAGACCATAAGGTACACAAGAGCTTCACTACGCGATTTGCACGTCGTATGCGCTTGTAGCATCGCGCACATGTCACCTATTGCGGACACTGCCCTTGCTACGTAAACAGACGATACTGACGCAATGGGGGGGGGCATGTGAAAAGCTAAGCCTAATTCGAAGCTACCATTTACCTATTTTTCGAGGTTTCTGCGCAATGTGTTTGGTGGCACCTTACTGGCGACCCCACTTCGTTATCACAGTGAAGTATAAACGCAGTCCGCTGCCACTAAGCTCCATCAGCTTTATTGAGCGTGAAGATCCAAGTTCTACATCTGAAGGCTAAACATTTCTTTTCAGAGGTAACTCATTCGGAGTTGTGGATCGAATCTGCGATCTACCCACCGAGAAGCAGGCCTGTGCCATGACATCACGAGCCTACGACGAGGAATCCGGACTGTGCAAAGTTTGGCCACCAAGTTGAGTGTCGTTTGTGCATACAAATTCCTTGAAAAGCCCCTTAGAGGCACTTTTGGAAGCTGCTGTGGCTTTTTGTAGATTTGAAACATAGCCAGGGTTTAAAGGAATCCGTATTACGTCAGGACTTAAAGTCGCAGTCGCGGAGCTGTCCTCGAGGGCTCATACGGCAGGACCAAAACGGTTCTTATCATACATTAGCAGGCTGGCGGCTCCGCGACGCTGACGCTTACATTTCACTAATTGCGGACCCTTTTTAATATTGTAAAGATTGTAAGTGATGATGGTGAGGACGATCCAGCCTTTTGGAGACGACAATAATGATCTTCAATTTTCAGATATACAACGGCCATCGACTTTCTAGGAGCGCTGGTTCCTCCGAATATTCGGGATCAGGTGTGGTCGCTGAAGCCGTTGAACTGCATAAGGTAAAACTCCCTTTTGAATATTTCGCATTGTTACATAGCAAGAAGTCACCGTGGATCACTTAGTTTACTGTATTAGAAATTATTATTCTGTATACTGTATTAGAAATTCGCACTTCAGTTGCGAACGACCCTTTAGGATGCGGTAGTTCTAGTAGACGGGAATCCCAGGTCCACCATGATACAAAAAACGACTTTTCGCTTTTCGCGCGTGAAGCTTCTCGTTACGGTATTCCCGGTCTCACATCATGTGAGCAGTTAAACCTGGCGGTCCCGCAAGCAACGGGAGAAGCTTTGCGTCGCGGAGCGAAAAAGTCGCTTCTGTCCCCAGTGAACCACGCCCAGGGTCAACCGTTACGTTGGACCGATATTGGAGCGACGTTGGACCGATGTTCACCGCTCTCCGCGCCGGCATTCACTCTCGCCACCCGCGAGCCGTCTGTGTCTCCGTGCGTACGTTCACTCTCGGCATTACTCTCGTCGTCGCGTTGGACTTTGTCCAACGGACGGTTGACCCTGACCACGCCCCATCACGATGAGGCCAGTGGACGAGTTTGCACGCAGTTGCGCTGCAGACGTTTTGGTTGCGGGAATGCAATATGAAGCGCTAAAGCAAACCTTGCCCAGAAGCTTCCACTTTACATTTCATCCTCCAGTTAGTTAGTTGGAATTGGGCAGGAAACGGCACTATGCGACGGCCCACCTAATTGCAACTTGAATTTCCCGCCACGTGCGGGAGTGGTATTGTGTGAAACTGAACATCGGATACATCTGATCAATCCTTTCTGATGCGCCACGCACTCTGCTGCTATGCAGTATCGTTGTAGTATTTGAATGCGACAACCCATACAGTTAAATTAAGGAACCAGCCCTTAAAGTTTTAGTTCTCTCAGAAGAGTATAGTACCAAGCAGACGACTTCAACGGAGATGGGAGGCTTGGGTGATTTGTGCGGTATGCAGTCTGAACCTGACCCTAGAGTGTCGCCGCTTATTACGGGTAGGGTACAGCCTGCCTGAGTCGGACCGGCCTCCCACTCTTCGGAGGGGTCGGTCAAATGGTATGAGACTAGAATAATCAAAATGCTGCGACATATATATCAGCTGGCTCTCCTTATTAACACGTTGTCGACTGTGTGACATGATGTCATACCACACTTTCGCACGTAGTAGTCTAGTTTTGCCTAATTTATTTGACACTTTTTTCGTCTCCAAAACATCTGTACTCTGTTTCAAAAAACGAGAAAGTGTCGGGTGCAGACCATACACCACAAGTGACGACGGCCTCCACAAAATGTAAATGTTTTCTGCCAATGAAATGATTAGCCTGTTGCAGTTGTCACTAATTACAACTATCATTTACCAACTATCAGCTATCACTATGAACACTAGTAACCAGATTTACTTGGAGGCCGTCGTCACTTGTGGTGTATGGTCTGCACCCGACGCTCCTTCTCGTTTCTTGAAAGGGAGGGTATACACATTATTCGTCCCGAAAAACAATTTGCTCGGCACTGAAATGGAAATCATTGAGCGATATAATGACTACTGATGAGAAAAAGACGAGAAAAGATGCCACAATACACACACAACGGCGGTCGTCAATGGGTTAATTTTACAGGTCAAGTGGTACCACGCTTCAGAAGAAAAGGTGAGTAAGTGAAGTGCGTGGCCCATCAGAAAGAGATCGATCAGAAATCACCGATTGTGCGCCTTTTTGTCAGTCTATCTTGAAAAGCAAGCGTTATTGCCCTTCATTAAAAGAGAGGAGGAG